CGCACAGAAACACCTGACTAAATCACATTCCAATACGACAATTCAACACCCTACCGACTACACGACCGATCAAATCAAACGATTCCTTGTTTAAGAGGATCACTTTTAAGAAAGCATTTCCGATTACACAAGTCATGCAACAATGTAACTAAAAGCTGAACAAAAACATTTCTGTCGGACTCCTAGAACAATTATTCGTTGATGATCTACCGGTCACGTAAATTGCAATCCTTGGACAACGACTGATCGAAGATCGTAGTTTTTTACATAAAAGCAGCGGGCTGACAAAACGAATTGTAAATGGTAAACCATGCGATGAGAGAACACTGTTGAACATTACCCTCGTTCCTCTTCGGCAGTCGGCGGTCCCTGTTGCGCGATGCGAAACACGTCCGTCGTCGACATGGTGCTCCGCTGGCCAGCACACTATTAACACACGATCACGGGTCACATATCGACGCCACTTTCCTCCAATTATCCAACGTCGAGGATATTTTCCTTGATTCGAATCCACGTAGCGATGCCGCGCACTCGGCGCGATCCACGTGTAAACGCGCGCTAGTCGTGCAAGCTAAGTACGTGTCCAGGTTGGCTGGCGCCCGTCAAGGCTAACACTGGTGCCGTGGTGTGCTGTGAGAATGGTGCGTGCAAAAGACGATGTATGCAAGCCGGTAGCGCAACAGGTTGCGAGTCCACACAGATTTTCCACGATCCACGACCGGCTGGATCCGCCGTAGCTATCGATCGTTCACAGCGACCCAAAAGCAGTTGAAGAGCAACGCACGACAGCGACCAACTCACTGCAGTCTCGTGTAGTGTCGCGGCGAAGCGGTCACGCCGCACCTCTACTTCTGTTGCCGTTCTGTTCTCTTCCTTCTACCTGCGCACAGCCACGCACACCATCATTTTTCTTTTAGTTGTGTGTACCATAGACGCTCGTTTGTCCACGGACGAAACGCGTTCCTTCTATCTGCGCGCACGTACACGCCACCGTACCATAGTCGGTGCTTTCGTAGAGATGCTATTAATCTCTATACATTGCTATCTTTCGGCTGTTTGTGTATTTTCATACATGCGAGTTTCTCCTCTATTGCTTCGCCGCGCCGTGATTGTCTATTTAGGTACACGAACATTTATCTCTCGTTACGTTTCTGTGTGTGAACAGGTTCCACGCGATTGTATATATATGAATATGCCGCGTGACGTGGTCACGCTTGTGCTGTACGATGAACACACGTGTCTTTTGCGTACGCACGCGTCTCAGGTAGATGGTATTTCTTTCATTTGCATATTGTCGTAAGCGTATATTATCGACATTAGTGTTTACGTATTCGTAGCTGTCTGCATATTGCTTTCTTTGGCTTAGAAAAAAACACGCAGAGGAACTTTTTCTTTTCACTATGTCACCGATGCAGACTCGATCCTTTGCTTGCTATGATTATGTTAGTGTGTTTCTTTCAGACATACATATACACACTGACATTTTTGGGTACAGGTCCCTTGCGATTGTGTCCATCCAGATGCATTTCCGTTTACCTGTTGTTAAGGACACACACCGGTGTCTGGTTTCCATCTGTGTAACAGTTCACGTCTACAAGTAGAAACATTACGTTCCATTCGTGAAGCGATCGCACAAACACGAAGGATCTTGCTATATGCGCAGAAATAACATTTCTTTAAACTGTGTGTGAGAAAGGCACTATAAGAACGGTTTCCTCTTGCCGTGCATCGGTTCTTATACGTCGATATTTATCCTGGCCGGTTCGTGTATAAACGTATATGAATACGTTTCCATTACCCGTGCACACATACGGTAAAAACTTGCTTATTATATACGTATACATGAGTACCATTATATATGTACATGTTAGTACGCAACTCAGCTATTCGAATACGGAGTTCTTTCGGAGCAATCGCGTTACGATCTTCACCATATGAACTGAACTTGGAAGATCTTGTATTATTCTGTGCAACATTAATAATGTATGTATTTTATACGGTTTGTATGTCTCGAAAGAGAAAAACATATAATATATTTGTTTATACGATGAAGGTATTATTTGTGTAATTTCTATTACCATAATTGTTAATATAATTTCTCTTTACGGCAGTTGTGCCTTTTACTTTTGTCTGTTCTGAATATTCCTCTACATTGTTTAATACTATTTTATTTATAAATACATTTATGAATTTTAGTATCCTTTACATTTTTTCCAAAATATTTGAAAGTTTATTGTAAATTATACTGTACTATATAATGTATATTATTATTAATAAATGGCGTTTTTAGTAAATACTATGAATATAATAAATCTATAATTGAATATTAATTTTTTGTGTATTCTTTAAATTAAAATCTTTATCGAAGGAGAATTTGCCGATTTCATGATTTTTGAAGATATTCAATTCGTGCAATTTTATTTTTTTTCGGTTCTGATTTCATTCACTTATATTATCATATTGTGAATTATTCTTCTTCCAACTGGAATTTCACTCTCTGGGTCCTCAATCGCAAATCGATTTATTGCAATTACCAGTATAGGAGAAATCGATTTCCTATGGATCGAACTGAAAATTTGAAAGGACGAATTGTTACCTGTTGCGCATGGTGCTTGGTACGTATACACATATGCCTCGCGCATGCGCAGTTTGCAAATGCAAAGCTAAATATTAATATTCTTGCTGTATCATACATTTTTACAAATTCTAAACAAATTAATATAATCTATTCATAATATTGGCAATCAGTTGTATCGTTAAATCAATGATATAATACAAGAAGAATATTTGTATAAAATATAAATATTCTATTTGTACTATAATCTTTTTGAAAGAGTACAATATTTGAATAATTATAGTAAATACTTAAATAGAAAACGCAAATATTTGAAGAAAGTATAGATCGTCGAGCAGCGTATTTTCTATTCAGAACTTCTTGTTCAGTTCATTTAAGCTATTTTCAATAACTAAACGGTATTAACGAATTGACTTCATATTTTTTGCTGTCGATAATAGTTCGAAAGATATATATTTTTCAAGGGAAGGATTTGTAGATTTTCTTTTTACTAAAGTACAAATAATACCTTTTTTAGTTTTAATAATAGCGTCGCATATAGAAATGTATTATTTATAGCAAAAATATATTATTATAAAATTACATTTTTCAATTACTGTAAAAGTAATAAAAATATGTTTAGAATATTTCTAATTATTGTAATTTATGTAAGATGAAGTATAACTTACAAAAGAAAATATTAATACTGTTATAAGTTATATTTTAAAGTTAAATAAATAGAATATGTTTCGATATGTGTATAATTTCGGTCAATACATTTCTATATGTGACTCACGTACACACTCCGGATGGAAGTGTACAGTCACGTAAAATGCATTTCATCGTCATTGCTAGCGCAGCAGCTTTGAAAGACATTATGACGACAAAGTGTTTAGCAAGTACAGATAAAAATAAACATTGCACATAAAAATTGCATTATATCACACTCCTATATTTATTTATAAAAGAAATAAAAGCGCTAATTTTAGTCAGTGTGATCATGCAAAGAGTAAAAGAGACGAGACGATGAATAATTATTAGCACGTTTGATACTATTAACAGAAGTTTAATAAAATTAAAGGATATTGTGTTAAGGTTAATTACAATAGGGATGGTTGTGTTCTGTTTCGTTTTTGCAGTTTCTTATTCTCGAAAATTTTTAGTAAACATACTAGTAAATATCTATAAATATGAGTAATTTATTTCTTGTAATATTCTTATTGAGTTATGATGTAAACCTAAAAAAGCCTGATGAGGAAGTTGTGAAATATAAAATATGATTATATATAAAAATTGTAGAGTCTTCATTCTTCTTTCTTCCAGTAATTACGAATGTAGAGTGCATAAAAATTTGGTACATTCACATGAACGAATAAATAGAACACGACTTGTTCGATTTTTCTACAACGTTACACTTTACACCTTTAATTTCATATTTGCATATCACATTATTCAGGATATATTTATCCAAATTAATTTCAGCAAAAAGTTTTCGTAGATATTTCATATTGAATCAATTCAGTAACATAAATGTTATCATGTTTTTCATACACCCTGAGTGGAGTTATTAAATTATGAATACTCGATGTGTATCATATTTACATTTTATATCCCATGGACGTCATAATATACAAGATGAATACATTAATAACAAATGGTCGAACTAAATAAAGAACAATACAAATTATAATCATTGACGACTTGTAATATACTAATTGTATAAACTAAATTTTTTATAGCATTAAATAATACTATAATATATCCGTTGTAACATTTTCACAAATGAATGAAAAGTTGAAATCAATTTTAAGAAAAAAAAGTTAATTTTTCAAACAATTCCGCCTAATACAGAATATGTGGTCATATATCATTTGTTGTGAAATAATAAAATTTTTGTACGTATAAATAAAAGCCATGAATAGATTTTTTTCTACCATCCAGTATCGTACATATATTATAAATAAACGAGGCATTCTCCGAGTGTGTATTGTTTAATCCATTATTTGGTATTACTGAATGATAGTAAAATGATTATTAATATTGCGCTGATATATATATATATATATATATATATATATATAGATATATATAAATAATGATATTAATAAAATAATGATATTATATATTATATAATATATAATATATAATATTAATAAAAATATTATTTATATATATATATATATATATAAATATAAATCGGAATTAATAAAGTTTATGGCATCATAGAAAAATTCATATTACAAAAACAAAATAGAAAAAAATTGGAAATAAATGTTATTTCACGTTATGATCAGCTATTCAGCTTAATATCTTTGATAAAAATTTCATCTTACCATTTTATCTTTTACACACAAACACTTTCTCGCCGTTTATTCTTATCGGCACTTGTACAACATTGACTTTCATATATTAGTAAAACTATTTAAAGTGACTTGCAATGAGAAACTTATGCTTTAGAAATTTGTCTTCTTACAATAATCTTACAAATTACAGTTGGACCAAGTGTACGTCGCGATATAACATCCATTATGCGAGTATCTATTGAAAACCGAAAATTATAACTACATGGCCCGTTAAACTATTTCGATGGCAATGAACGTAAAATATTGTCGTATCACTTACTTAGAGTGTTTTGTTAAACTAAAAGGAATGTAATATGTTACAATTTTTGATTTCCAAAGGAAACATACGCTAAATTATTTTATATATATTGTTTTGTTCGTAGCACATTTAAAATCAGCGATTAACAAATTCTAGATGTTAATATGACTACTGTAATGTCACTCAAGGTGCAAAATATGATTGTTAGTGCAGCGGCAAACTATTTACCAAAATTGAAAAAGAAAGTGAATAAAGAAACAAAGGTATATAAAAGCGTCACAATTTCATCCGCATTACGTATGAAATGCAGATGAAATATTTTGCCTTAGTATAATGTAACAATTATATTATACATTGTTAGATAAATATACTTTGTGCACACATGACATCAATACATAATGTCGAATTTTTATAACAATATGTAAGCAGAGGTTGTATTCTGCAGAAGAACATTCATACTTTACCTTTATCTTTATATTTTGTATTTCAAATCATCTTGTAGCTTTAAAACAGCAATATTTTTTTAATTGTCAATTATTGGTACGATATATGCAAACTTTCCACAGTAATTTATAAAAGTATATGAAAAAGTAAGAAATATTAATCTAAATTTCATTTAACACATTGTATAACTTAAATGTTGTTTTTTTTTAAAGCATTGTGTCATGTGATTGTATATTTCAGATAAAAATATGAGGTACGTGTATATCATAAAATTGACATTTGTTATCCAACAATACATATGTAATGTATGTATAGTACAAATGGAAATTGTCTTACATTTCATTAGATCAAGCTTTTATTTAAAGTCGAACTTGTTCGGGCCATGTAAATATATCACAACTATGTACGTTCATACATACATGTAGATTCAACAAACACACAAATTATTTGTGAACGATACATACACTAATCATTCTCACACTTTGCTGCTCAATGTACTCATCACTCTGTTTACAATTCATTCTCTACTTTGACACCTGATTTTAATTTTTTTAACTAGTTGTAAATAACAAATTCTTAATTAAGAAACGAATTTTAAATGAGAACAATTCCAATTAGTTCTAATAAAATCAATAATTTGTCACATAGTGAAAACATGCTATTTAAACTACATTTTTTGCAAGAAATATGAAATGCTGATCAAATAAAAGAATCTATGCCAGGTGTCAGGAACAGTTACTTAATTATCGTGATTCAGCTTTCGTTTTAGGAGGCCTGAAAGCTTTCAATTTTTTTGCTTTCTTTTGTTTTGTGGCACTAGCACCAGACTGAAAAGCTTTCCAACTATCAACTCTTGATTGTCGAGATTCTTCAAAATTTTTTTGCCACTCACGTTCTAATGCAGCTTGTGCTTCTGCAGATAGTTCTTCTTCCCGTTTCCTTTTACGTTGTTCCGCATCTCGAGTAGCTAATTCCCTTCTACAGAAAAAAAAAATCACAAACTTTTATTTACAGATAATAGAATCAATTTCATAAACTATATTATTATTATTATTCAAATTAACCTTCTTCTCTCCATGTCAGCAAAAAGTTTCATTGTCATAACCCAAACTGCATGTCTATAACCTTCTTCTGTTTCCTCTTCAAGTATATTTGCACTTTCTGTTTTTCCCTCTTTTTTCAGTTTTTTCTTCTTTTCTACAATCTAGCAAATTTTTCGACATTTATAAATATATTGCACATATATTCTTATAAATGAGAAGGATTTATTTGTTTATTATTCATACCATATGATCCGTTCTAGCTTTTGCTTCTTCTATAACATCCATGCATTTAGCTCTAGTTTCTTCGTTTTCCAATGTTTTCCATGCTTTGTTAACAACTATAATGAAAGAAACAATTTTGAAAATTTATCAGTTCTTAAAGTGAAAATTAATACATACTTTCAAATGCTTGTTGTGCACGTTCTGCGTCATCTTGGTTTTTATCAGGATGCACAAGAATTGACATCTACATAATAAAAATAATTTAATAACGTATATTTTAAAATTTACACATTATATTAAAGACGAGAAAGATGTTAACTTACACGTCGATATTTCTTTTTTATTTCATCTATAGATGTGGATGGATCAATTTGTAATACTTCAAAAGGGTTTAAATTAAAATACGATGAGCCAGGTCGAAGTAGTCTGTCAATTTGTTGTTTGGGAGTTAATACCGAATCTCTTTTTTCTATTTCTTTCACCTGAAGAAAAATAAAATTTTGTACAATGCAAAACAACTATTTGTTTAGGGCACGAATACAGTTGTATAGGTTAGGCTTATTTATAACTCAAAAGTTTACTGAGAAAGCAATTTACTTTATGATGTTTTAAGAAATGTTAGGTATCACTTATCAAATAACGGAAAACTAATGGTAAATTGTACTTTAAATTCGATTTATTATTATTGTTTAATGCATACATAGTGACGTTTGTTAACCCTTAAAACAAGGTACAAGTGTTTACAGTTATATAACCAAGAATTGTATCAAAAACTGACTTCTACACAGATAAGTGTTCTAATGATATGATGTCATTCGAGATTTACATACTTCGGAATAAAATTCATTGAATTCGTCCTCCTTCTTGGTTGGACTATCACTGGATATATTCGAGTTGGTAGCAGCCATCTTGATTGTTACTAACTTCCATGCTATTAGTGGTGCCGCCTGTGAAAAATTGATATGTATTTCGGAAGGACTAATCTGCGATCCGCTTATTTAGAGAAACTGATACAATATGACTTATGTATTATTGCATTCATATGCACTAATCTTATCGCTAAAGTTCTTTCAATGCATAACAGAACTTATTAATAAATTAAATTATTAAAATCAAATAAAAAATATTTTATACTTATACAATATAAAAGTTTAATAAATTTACATGTATATCTTATAATTAGGTTACCGAATACTTTAGATATTTTACATTTAATTTTCTCATAAGTGCAGAAAAATCCACATTCCAATTGTTCCGGTGATTATGAAAGTGGATAAGTCAAATATCTAAAAAAATTGGATTTATCACTTATTTTACGTTGCATAGTACTTTTCAAAGTAATAGAAATTTAACCATACTATATATATATTAAAACAGCTGGATTGAGTTGGATGTTGTGACATTAAACAGAATTCAATTTATGCGCCAGACGCAAAACTTTAAATATCTCGAAATGAGACATAGGACACTTGCATAATCACCGATTCAGTTATATATAATATGGGAAATGTCCCAAAAGTTTCTTTTGTTTTATAAGGAAATAATACCAGTACAACATTTTTGCTTTATATTATATTATTAAATTACGTATGATCATAATAATAAAAATAGAACAAAATGGGTCATACAAAATATGGACAAAACAAAAAATGTTGTGCATCTATTATTTCTTTATAAAACGAAAGAAACTTCTGGGACAACCTAATAACAGAGAATGAAATTTCAGAAAATGGATTCGGAAAATCGAGTAAATAAGTCATTTAAATTTTATAGTATTTTATTAACAAAGCTTAACAACCAATAAACAAGTGAAGTTTTATAGCGGTAACAAAGATGTATTACAGGGAAATTAAAATCGTACATTCGATATGTACTATAGAATTCTGTTCAAATCAATGGACTAAGATCGTTTTTAAAACTACTTGTACACGTAACTACTCGCTATTTTCCACCAGGAAACACAGAACGCATAAATAGGAAGATGTAAACACTAGTACAACACTATAACATCTAGCATACATTACATTTTAACTAATCTAGCATGATGTCTATTAGTTAGTCGTGTACTAGTGAACACCAGTTCATACACAAAAGCATTTTCTTTAAATGTTATCTATAAGGGCCAGTCCGTTTAAGGAACGCTATTACAAACACACAATTTCCTTGTAACATTTTACTTGCTTATTAACATACGTCACATTCATCGGATATCTAGTTACATGAATTGCAAACTAATAGTTTTACTTACACACATCAACATTATGCAATTCGTCGGCTATTCTCGTTTTTTCTAACTCTACTTTTTTTCAAGAATCTTAACGTCCTTAATTTCTTAAAGAATACATCCTTTTCTTTCTGCGTTATTATACAATAACGTAAATGTGTATGATCTATGGTTAGCACTGTTTCAACCAAGATATACAAAGCAGTCATTGCGTTTCAATTGGAGTCGAATGTGAATACAGCACATACATCGTGTAGTTTTTCAACTGATGATGAAAAGAAGTTCGTACAGGATATTATAAGTGAACTGCTTTCTGCACGAAGTAAAGATATTGATAGCAATTTTTCCACTTTCACTAGACGGAAAAATTATGTTTTTATATGTTCAAGATAAATAAATTTTAACTCTGTTAGGCATTTTTCTTTTAGGAGTTTAAGAAATACTTTATGTGTATAATGTTACATATCTAAACAATTGATAAATAAAGCATAGATACAACAAAATACAAAGGTATAGAATCATTTGTTTCATAAAATAGAAAAGATTATTCCTGCAGAATTTAAAATTTTACGAAAGAAAAAGACGAGAAGAAATTTTAGAACCATGATAGAAGTGAAAGACAAATCCTTTGTATTGAACTTTTAATGACTTATTCTTTTTCAAATGACTTCCAGTATGAGATTTAAAAAATCGCTATTTAAGTGTTGAATATGCACGAATAAAGCGAAATCAAGTTTGTTAATATCTATCGAGGATACAAAATTACTTGATAAATTAGTGCAAATTAATATCTCGCACTACGATATATCCTCCTGTAGTACCGCTAATAATTTTATAGTTGGTACGATATTAAACTTCAATAAACTCTATAGAAAAAATTATAACATAAAATAATGGATGCAATAAATTTTTCTCTGTGCAACATCACCATCAACATCATCCTGTGTTACATCGGTTACAGTTACACCATCGCGTACGACAACGATTATTAATGAGTTAATGATGTTATACCTAAATATCTAGTTCCCACCGTAGTCGAAGCAAAATGTTTCTGTATTACGAAAAAGAGTGTCATCATTCGCAAAGCGATATTTGACGCAGAATAAATATATTATCTTACTAAATTGCTACCGTTTGTCCTGTTCGTAGGTAAAGAGAGGTCTCCTTTGTTCAACAAACTCTTATTAAGTTGACAGTGCTTAATGACGGCATCACTTATTACGACCATCGAGTAGCAGAAAGCAGAGTGTTGCATTTTACACTTAATCACTTAAATCATTTGTTTATTTTGATAAGCACATGCACGCGCATACGATATAATTTGCATACAAAGATACACAACACTCGACGATGGGGACACATCTTATAAATCTAAGGATTTTCTCCATTATGAACTGCCTTAACAAAAATTTTACACCACCTTTACACAACGTTTACGTATGAAACGTACTGGTGTAATTTTTGTATTTTGTGTTTCAACGTGCAAGCGGCTATTCCGATCGTAATCAGAAACTAAGATGATCAATTTTATTTCTTCCCTATGTTGAAATTAGTTGTTCTTGTAGTACTTGGCGCTCCTGTCGAAATATATCTTTATTTCTTTCTATATTTTGATGAATTTTCACATTAAAGAATCCTTTTGATAATTATCTTATTTTTCAGATCGAAAAGACGAAATTTTAGAATCACAACAAGCAAATAATTTTACATAATTTCATTTTTGATGAATTATCCTCTTCTCTCTTGAAATACTAATAAGTTATTTTATAATTCTAAAAACTCTTTATTCAATAAAAATGCAACAAAAATTAATTTCTGCATTTGTATTGTTATTTATTGTCGCCAAGTAGCAGATCTCTCGTGATACCATAAAATACCACGAAAAATACTATACTAGAAGCATCATTCCAACATACGGAGAATCTTCAAAGGAATGTTCGTTTAATTATATATTTTTTTATAAAATCTATCTTCTGTTCCTTTTCCCCTCACAACTCAATGTCATATTTCTTTACTTTGCATTCACGCATATTTTCTTCGGGCATTCAATTAACAAATATGATTCCAATTAGCGTACACACAAGGTGATGTATAGTTTCTTGTAAATATGTACCGGCTGAATATCATCAGACGAAACGTGCTATAAACACACATATGTAGATTTTTATAGAGACCGTAAGTGTGAAATAAAACAGAATTTGCGGTAATTAGTCACCATGAATGGAGAAGTGAAAGTCTTGCTCAGGCTTGTTTCTGGTACACCCCCTTCACCAACGTCCACGCTAAGATCCTTTTTACAAGGTCATACGTGGCGAGCGGTGGAGGGGGTCTGGCCGCTATGCTTGGTCCACCTCGTGACAAACTTCCATATAGTCTGGATTATGCATTATATCCTTTATCATGTCCTTTAAGATCGGATAACGGGGAAAGATTGGATACACTTTTGAGCTATTGTATTCCTCCTGTGGGAGACAGAGCATTAGTATTATTAACATAAGGTAGGTCATGGTCTATGACAAAATAGTGAGTAATTGTAAATTGGTAAATGAAAAAATTAAAGAATTCATGACAAAAACAATTTCTGTACACGTTTATTTTTCTCCATGACAGCGAAAGATTGCTATAGCATTTTTAATTTCTGTTCGATACAATTTAATTTTTTAAACAAAATATTCATAATTATACAGGGTGGTTGGTAACTGGTGGTACAAGCGGAAAGGGGGTGATTTTACGCGAAAAAAGAAGTCGAAGCCAGGACCAGTTCCAGGCAGGTCTCGATTAGGCGTCTTAATATGTCGGATAGGCGTAAAAATTGTAAAATAGCGACTAGAAACTCGACGAAGAGAAACTCCGTAGATACTCTAAAAAAATTTTTTTAACGTAAACGTTATCACTGGAAGGGGGGTAATGTAGCCGCACGCGAGTAGGACAAATTCAAATCCTTTTGTTGTTTTGTTTCGGAGTATCATGACCATTAGGTCATAGGTATTGCAAGAAGTAATGAACTCCGAGCAAAATAATGTCGCCGCTACTTTCAACCGTCAAACGCAGTCGAGTTCAAACTTTTCGACTGTCCCCCGACCAGTATAAAAAAACAAACGAAATGACGAGCAGAGAAGTTCAGCAATCGCAGTATAAGCATACAGACGCATCAGACGTATATACGGAGTTTCTTGAGACTGGGCGTTTTTATTTTCGCGAAAGTTATTGTATCTGGACTTGTGCTTAGTGTGTCAATTAATTTTATAGACAATATATTTATTTTAAATAAATTGCTCACAAACAGTAACCTGTATTTCGTGATATCTGATAAGATCAATCCTCTACATATCGTTTGGCTTCGGGGCTAGTTGATGTATTTCTTGACGAAGATGCCGGCCTATTCGTGAGATCGAGATCTCTCATTTCTCTTAGCAATTGGTCCTTGGTCTTGATATCCTTTTCAAGTGCTATTTTTTTAATGCGCGGATCTCGTGGGCTCAAGTGACGAAGAATGACAGCGTTGATTACTTCTTCCTTAGTTAAATTTTGCCACTTCGCCTCCAGGAGGGAGCGGAGACGAATGAAGTAAGCTGCCATGTTTTCGTCCTTCTGTGGTTTTTCTCTGGATATACTCATTAATATCGAAGATGCTGTTTCTTTACCACCAAAACACGTAGTAAAAAGTTCCATAAACATCGGCCAGGTAAGCTCTTCGCCATTCACTATCTGCGTAAACCAATACGCAGCAGAACCTTTTAGAGCATTTTTTAAAGCAGAAATTAGCGCGCTGTCTTGTAGAGGGTTGTTCTTCAGAAGCTGATTAGCAGCTGCGCACCATGCGGCTGGATCAGCGCCCTCGATTTCGGGATCAAAATGTGGTAGCATTAGATTTATAGATTTCGCACTCTGTATACACAGCAGCGTGTGAATAAAATCGCGCACCATAATCATATGCTCTTGCAATGTTATAACCGGCTCTGGTCTCTCTTCTGATGTCGGGTTGGCGTTGGGATTAGAGCTATGGGCGCTTGATGAATCTCCACTGGAACTAGCCATCGTTGTGTTACAATGAAGATAGAGTTTATTAACATAAGTATGGACACAACCGATTTGACAACTAACTGCGGCGATTAGGCACTCGTAACACTAACGACAATGGCCTCAGGTTCGTCAAAGTCTAAGTTGGACTATATGTTAAGACGTGAAATATTCACGGATCGCAAAGACGTCACTTAACTCGTTGATGAGAGCGTACGCGAGAGAGTGTCCCTCCGTCACGGTGACGCTGAAAATGAAAACTACGATGGGGCGTGTCCAAGGGCACGAAATCGTCGGATTGGTGGAGAAAAATCTTCGTTCGGAAAGTGAGGGAAGTTGTCATTGCTGCTAATTAGTCAATTTCCATTGTGGTGGTTAGAGGAGGGTGCTAGCCGCCCTTGAGTAAAAGTTGCTAGTGGGAAGCGTCGTTTGTGAGAAAAATAGATTTCCCCTACCTCCCCGTAGTCAGAACAAAGACTATTTGTTTGTTTGAAAGACCAGTTAATTAAATCTTAAGATTTGTTTGGGCTAGCTAAACATGTATTATAGACAGAAATCGTTGGAATCTTTACTGTCAAGCGCCGCTACAACTATTTCTTCTTAATTCTTACTTTCTCTTTAAGGGGGGAGGGGTAAGGTTAATTCGTACAAAATAAGGCATGTTTTTATGAATTATTTGTGACGACACAGTTAAAATCTCTTTATTAAAACCAATGGTGCATTAACTTATGACATTCGAAGAATATTGTATAAAATTTTCACGGAGAAATATTAAAAAATACGGCAATGACAGCAATTATTCGGACGTGTCTCGGAAAAAAGTAGAATTGCTCATAACTTGGTGCTGGATCATCTGAAGTAAAAAAGTCAGGTAGGTAACAGTTTCACCCAGGTAACGCTAGGAGGGTTTATCGAAATTTCAATTTTTCACTTTTTTGGAACACTTTGAGTTAGCCGATTTTGCGAAAATTTGCGGCTAATTTTCCCTTCAATGTGTTCCAAAAAAGTGAAAAATTGAAATTTCGAAAAATCCTCGCAGCGTTACCTGGAAAAAACTATTACCTAACGAATGAACTTTGATTTTTTGATTTCGGATGATCCAGCACCAAGTTATGAGGGGCACGGCAATTATACTTTTTTCCGATACACGTCCTAATAATTGCTGCCATTGCCGTATTTTTTAATATTTCTCCGTGAAAATTTTATACAATATTCTTCGAATGTCATAAGTTAATGCACCATTGGTTTTAATAAAGAGATTTTAACTGTGTCGTCACAAATAATTCATAAAAACATGCCTTATTTTGTACGAATTAACCTTACCCCCTTAAAAAAAAATATTTTCCATTTTTTCCACATTTTATGATGTCCTAAACAGGCTCATTAAAATAAAATCAAATGTCACTCGTTGACACGTTTCGACTAGCGTCTAATCCGTCGCTTGTTTAGCTTTGGTTTTTGCGAGCAGATTATTTCGAAGAGAGGCTACGCAGAAACGAGTAGACATTTTGAAGCAAGAACATGGCATCGGTGAATTAGCGTTATGCTGTCCCATCGCGAAATCGTGAGGGCTATGTCATCCAGAATTGGTCCCCTGTTGCACCTTTCAGAGTTTGGATATGGATATTAAATTTCACAGCGGGACCTCTACGTGATGTTTCTATCTTTGACGCAGCACCCTGCTTGCTCGACAAATAGAGGACATAAAGAGACTCCCTTAATTATTCTATCTCTAAAAACTAAAACTAGAAACTACAAATTAACAACTAATGACTAAAAACTATTGCAACTTTGGGCTTTAGCCTTCTTGCTGTGTTTCCTTCCTGTCGTTTGCCCTTCTCTTCGCTATTATTGCTTTCAGTTCTGTTAAACCTTCCCTAATCTCATTTACCGTTTTTCCTATGTCCTTTGTTCCTCCCGTTATTTCGCATTCTTCTATTACATGTCTCAGGTCTTCTTCTTTCCTTCTACATAGTCTGCATCTTTTTTCTCCATCTTCTTTCCAGTATTTCCTTGCTTTATAAAATAATATAAAACAGAAATTGTTGTTCATCTATAATCACCTTATGTGTTTGATGAATCTTTATTGAAATTAGCCATCGTTATGGTATAACAAAGGTACGGTTTATTAACACAAGTATGGATACCACAGACTTGACAATCAACCACGGCGATTAGGCACTCGCTACACTAGTGACAATGGCCTTAGGTTCGATAACGAATCCGCGGTCAGCGGGATGATAGATGTACGTGCTCACAAAATCTAAGTCTCACTCTTTGTTAATAAGACGCGTAATATTTAGTGATCGTAAGGCGTTACTCTTTTCGTGGATGAGATCGCAAGAGGGAGCGATTTTCCGTGCCGATGATGCCATAGAGAAAAACTATATGGGGTGTGTCTAGGGACACGAGATCCTCGGATTCGTGGAGGAAAGCCTTCGTTCGGAAGGTGAGGGAAATTGAGGTTGCTGCCAATTGGTCAATCTCCATATCGGTGATTAGAAAAAGATGCTAGCCGCTCTCGAGGGAAAGCTGCACATGTACTGCGGAAACGCATCGACATCTGGCAATCATCTTACTCGAAGAATAGGGTCAAGCTCACTATCATAAGTCTGGAACAACTACAATCGAATTGAATAACTACAATTGTTTAATTACAGCTATGGTAGACTCTAGATTACAATGTTGCGGGATTATCCAAAATTCCAAAGGCTCCGGTGTTCTTTCATCTCCGACATATGTTTAATTACATTTTTTTGTATTTCTATAATATATTCCTTTGCTACTGTTTTATATGTATTTAAATGAATATATTTTTTATTTTTTTAGACATGCTTCGTTATATTAGTTACTCTAATGCTAATCCTCTCTAGTAAATTTGTTTACATTTAGATTGGAAGCAGAATGTTGGGAATCATATACAACGAACAATGTAAAATAATTTATACGTATTTTACATACAATATTGTGCATTTTAATTACTATTTGTGAAATATATTAAAATATTATTAGAAAAAATATTGCAACAAGTTTATTGCGACAGACAACATTTAAAACAAGGATATTTAGAAATACATAAATTATACTTTTTATCGTGTATCTAGTATAAGCATAATATGTACTTCATTTATATCTATTGTAGAAAAAAGTATTAAATTATTCTAATTCAAATATATTTTTCATACTCAATTACTTGAAATATTTTCATTTTTCTAAACTCAATTTTTATATAATAATCTACGTTAATAAAAAATGGTAAAATTTATTAAACATTGCAAATTGCTAAGGTCTCGTTGAATAAAATAACGGATTGAATCATATAACGGATAAATTCCCATGACCATTCGTTGAAGAAGATTATTGTTCGGATTTATGGCATGAGTTTACGTCGACATTATTACGCTACCCTCCATATTGGCATGCAGCCAAATTCACGAACCCAAATTATATTGTCCTAATGCTCGTAAATGCAAGCAAACGGATGGTATAAAATGTAGGGATAAACTGTATCCTTCAGGACTCTTTTATTTACAAACTTTATATATTTTCCAT